ACATATTTACGAATTTGTTTTTTTTTTAAATAAATAATAATTGATAAGTGGGCATTATTTTTGAAATGAATGTTTTTATACAAAATGTGAATAATTTAAAGTATAAGAAATAGAGAGTAATAGTTACTTTATTCGTTCTGTTAAAATTTGTTGGTGTTTTATTTAAGCCATATTCCACTTTTGTTTCTGTATCTTCCGGAATGGTATTATCAGCTAGAGTTGTAACATCAGGATTAATAGGACCCTTAAACCATAATTTATTCATTATTTTATAATTAAGTACATAATTTTTATTTTAAAATTACCTGAATGATTTTGTGTTTACCAATGACAAATTCTACTCGACCAGACCAAGGATTTACAAAAGTTGACCATTCTGTTTGTACTAATGCAAAATCACCATTTTGACATTTAAATCGGTAAGGGTTTCCTTTTAATGTTATACTCTTAGCTTTAATCACTAAAAAAATAAATGATAAGAATAAATTATATTATGTGCTTTAGAGAACGTTTTAAGTAAAAAATTGAAAATTTACTATTTGCGTGAATTTCTTTAATAGTTGTTAGGTCCTCAATACAGTAATAGTCAAAAATCGATCTCCCAATAAAATTTTGTGGTAGATATCCAAAGTATGATGTAATTAATTTATCAACATAACACCATTCAAAAAAAGCATTATGTTTAGTGATAAATTGAGTTGGATTTTCTATTTTCTCTTCAGGACCTAAATGTAAAAAAAATAAATATTTTTTGCTTGTTTTATTTCTTATAAGTATATGATAAATATAATAGTTATTATTTACATACATATGTATGCTGAGTGAATTAGTTGTGATTTAACAACTAGAAATAATTGAGGTCGTGCTAATTGTGTCATATTTTGTGTCGTCGACACGTGTGATAAATCTTTGAATGTTATCGTTAGCTTACAGACTTTATAGTAGTTTTCGGTTTCAGATATTGAATAACCCATATTACAGTAAAATCCATCATTGGTCTTGGGTCTCAAATAAGTCACTGCAGATACACCATCTAAATATTTGTTTTTTATAGTTTATTTATGTAATGTAATACATACCTGTATATCAATAATTATAGCTAATAAAGGTGAGTGTTTTTTTCTTTATTATAGGTAAGAAGAAGTAAAAAATGATTGTAATTTTTTTAATCGATATTTTTACATAACGTTTAGCATAAATTATAATATTGTAAGCATATATATTGTAATATTGATAAATGCGAGATTATTCCATTTAATGGCATAAAAACTAATTAATATTAATTGAGTCATTTTATGAAATTAAATTAACGACAAGTTGCACTAAGTTTGGTTAGGTACTTACCATTGATTATCAATTTATAATTTCATTTATAATCAATGGTACAATGTACGCAATTGTTTCATAGTCTTGACAGGTACGAAATCGTATCGTTTTGACTACATGTCATTGATATTACATAAGGTAATTGTTATTATAGACGTATAGACATATAGTATTAGGTAGCCAAAATAGGCATTTAGGTACTTCGGTTGACGAGTCTTCAGATAGATTTCAGTTGATCTCAATAGTTTAGTGACTAAATACTATTACAGCATTACATGATGTGTACTAATATATATAAGATACAATCAGTGGATTTACCTTTATAACCCATTGATTTATCTAAAGACTATAAAAAAAACCCTCATATTGTAACTAAAAGGAAATACAGACTATAGGTAATTTTGTTTACTGATTTATTAGAAAATACTTGATTACTTGAATTTATTTATAGGTAAAATCATAATTGTACATAATATAATATAATATAATGTGATGAATTAAATATAGGTACTAAACTTACATTATTTGGCACAATTTTTTAAAATTAAATATTAAATCAACATTGGCAGCCTACAGCCTAGGTACAATAGGTTACTCCACAGACTCTGCAAGTATATATAACGTTTAATAAGTAATAAAATATACATATCACAATATTTATATGTAGTATACATAAATTATATAGGTATATATGTATAATACTCAATCAATTCTATCTTCCCAATCGACTATATTTTTGTTGATACTTTAAAATCACTTTATAATTTGTATATAGCAATTTTAAATTTTGTATGAATATTTTTGATATTTTTGAAATATTACTTTTTAGTTGAGCCCTTGAAAGAGGCGTCTCTAAATGTCCAACTTAACTTTAGTTCCAATACACATAATCAAATACATAAAACTGTCAAAGCTCTCCTTGTACCTAAATATAGTGGCTATAAATAATATACGCTATATGTTAATCCGAATTCCAAAACTCAACGCAACTACATTATTCTTACACAATACACAATACATACACCTATTTTATGTTAAATAGTACTTACAAAAACTTGAAATAATAAATTGATAAATAACAATTAAAAAAAAATATTTTTAGTGTCTATATGATATAATTTTAATGCTGTTAATATAAGACATTTTTTAAACATACCTGCTCTAGTAATCATACAAGGATCTGTAAGAATGGACGTTATGTAATTGACAAATGTCATCCGATCCTTAGGATGAATAAAATCAATAAATGATCGATTTTTCCACATATCTTTTGGATAACCCATACTTTTATTAATACTATTTGATATATCAATAATTAGACCATCGGTCATGGACACCACTACACCAAATGAATCGTTTTGAACATCATCTGACTCAATTATTTCATTGAATTGTATGTCTTGGTCTTTTAATACCTTTAAAACAGTATCTGTAAAAAAAATATTTTTTTAAAAACTGTTATTCATTAAATATTGAAAATCAAGAACTCATTTTTCACTTTTAGGATTGCATTATATTATAATTGTATATAATTATTATTAAACTATAATTTAAATATCTAATACTTAAATTAATACGTATATTATAAGCATGCGTACATTTAAAAAGTAAGGCAAGCGGGTACCACTCTGCTGTAGAGTAGATATCAAGTGGGTCACTGCAATGAATGTGCTAAATTTTAAATCAATAAATCATAGCATACGAACAATTGTACTGAGTGAAGAATATAGTCTGTCAGTTTATATTAGTATACCCATAATTGTATGGTATTATAAGGTACTATTAAAGTAATTTATTTTATTATTAATAATTCATTAGGTTGAAATAATTTAAGACAAAAAAATAGCAAAATTCTATAAAAAAATTGTACTCTAATAGAATTTTTTAGACTTTTGATTTCTAAATGAGCTACTTACAAGTTACAAATAACCTTACATTAAATTTTCGAGCCTAATTAGCTATATAAATAGAACATTTTAAAAATGTTTACTAGAAAATAATCTTTAAATGTTCGTGATTTTGACGAAGATCTAATTTGATTAAACTAATAGAAATTTGAATAACAAATGCTTATACAGTTCGAAGTTATGACTTATATGGTATAAGCTGTAACAAATATTGTGACTTTGTATTTTCGATACTTTGTAAGTGGCATATAAACAAATTATGAGAAACCTTTTATTCAATTATTATTTTTCATAATTAGGGCTAGGGACTTATTGAATTTGCATATTTTTATTGAATAGTCCAAAAAATTGCTAAGTAAGACAGAAATTTGTTTCAAGTTGTAGTGAATTTAAAAACGCCAAAAAAAAAATGCATATTTTTGCATATATTGCAATTTTTATGAAAACATGCATTTTTTTATGATGAATACATTTTTTATGCATATAACATCCTTATTAAGTACGACGTAGATTATTTCCCACAATATTATGGATAATATGGACGTTTTTGTTTTTCATTTAAGAAAAATAAAATAAAATAAGAATTTTATAAATAGAATGTTTCCATGCATTATCGAAATAAATTATTATCGATTAACACCAAATGAAGATAAGATATTTCTATCTGCTAGCCATACCGTCCGCACTCAGCACGTCAGTCTCGCCTTTCGTGTATTGCGGTATCGTGTGCTTAATTGTTAACCAATATTATATTTTTATTTTTGTATCAAATTTCATTAAATTTTTTATTTAATTTCGTTTTTGTTACAAAAATGCCTAAGCAAATTACATGTGCTTTAGTTAAAAAGTATATTACAGAATTTGGGTCAGATGTTTTTTCAGCAGACCAAAATGTGTTGTTTTGTAATTTTTGTGAAACAAAAGTGAGCGTGGATAAAAGGTTTATTGTCACCCAACATCTTAAGACGGAAAAACATAAACGGGCAGCTAAGCGCATTGAAAATCGCCCAGGTACAAGTAAAATACTTACACAACAATTTATAACGGACACAACAAAAAAGTCTATATTTAGTCACGATCTTTGTGCAGCTTTGATGTCAGCCAATATACCTTTGAATAAATTATCAAATCCATATTTTAAAGAATTTCTATCGAAGTACACTGGTAAAGATATTCCTTCTGAGTCAACGTTACGAAAAGGTTATGTTGATGAAATTTACGAAAACAAAATTCAAAAAATTAGGGATCATGTTCAAAATAAATGTATTTGGGTATCAATAGATGAAACTACCGATATTACAGGTAGATATGTAGCTAATGTTGTTATTGGCATTTTAAATGAAACTGGGAGTAGTATGATTTTTCTTTTACATTCCGAGGAGTTGGAAAAATGTAATCATTCCACAATTTGTCAATTATTTGATAGATCAATGAACTTACTTTGGCCTAACGGTATTCAGCACGATAAAGTATTATTGTTTCTTAGCGACGCTGCCCCCTATATGGTAAAAGCTGGGGAAGGAATTAAATTATTTTATTCAAAAATTATACACGTTACGTGTTTGGCCCATGCATTTCATAGGATCGCAGAAACTGTACGAGCAGGATATCCAAAAGTTGACAAACTTATCGCAAACGTAAAAAAAGTTTTCCGTAAAGCACCTTCTCGCATTCAATATTTTAAATCAATAGCCCCATCATTATCGCTACCACCTGAACCAATTTTGACAAGAAGCCAAAGAAAAATTAATTAAAATTAATGGAGTAATGGGGAATATAATAAAAATTAAGATTGAGTCTGTTTTATCAAAAAATAAAGGCTATCAAGCAGTTTTCAAAATATCAGAAATATTAAATGGAAAAAAAGAAGACACATATGGTTTACCCGAAGATTTGAATTTAAATGATCTCACATATTTTAAAAACTGTCCAATAACATCAGTTGACGTAGAACGTTCATTTTCGATGTACAAAAATTTACTTACTTTCAATCGACGTTCATTCAAGTTCGAAAATATCAAAAAATCTTTAATTATTCAATGCAATTTCCAAGGTAAAATAACTTATAAAATAATCAGTAAAAATAGTAAGTATAAAGGAAAATTTGTTTTATTTTACAGAGCCGTTAAAAGAAAACCTTGAAGAAAACTTTTAGACCACAATAGTATAACTACAATCTTTACTAAGATTTTCAAAATTGTTATAAAAGAATAAATTATTTTTACACATTTTTATTACACATTTAAAATAAAAAAATTAATTGCATATTTGAGTGCATATAACATTTTTTTTGCATTTTTTTGTGCATTTTTTATGATAATTTAATGCATTTTTGCATGCATATTTTCATAGTTTTCCATGCAATAAGTTCCGAGCCCTATTCATAATTCACAACATTTTTATCGATATTTAAACGAAAAAACTATAATATATGTCTATAAAAAGCCTTTTAAAATGCTAAATAAAAATAAGTTTTTTAAATTATTTGTTAAAGTTATCTTATTTGCAAGTTATTTAGTAATCTTGACTTTTATAATTTTTATAGAATAAAACTCTGATAGATTACCTATAATAGTTAATGTATTTGTAGGATTTGAAGTGGAGTTTATTTGATTTATATCCCGATATGATTGACACAAGTAAGATAATTGCAAAAACGCCATATTTTCTTGACTGTGGTCTACTTTAATATCATTATTTAAATCATCAGATTCCATTTTTGATGTAGAAGCTAGATGTGAAAACGCAATAAAAGTCTTTATTGTAATAAATATATTTTTTTTTATGATTATTCTTCAGTTCATACCATCGATACATAATTGGTTCGTTTGTGGTTTATATGTTGTTGAATTTTTCTGTTTAGATTTTGAACAAGTAGTACTTGGTTTTGGATTAGTATTCAAGCCTCTCAATATAGTTTGGCTTGATTGTTCGACGAGTTTAGAGTTTACAGTTGACATTTCCCTAGATGTCAAAAAATGATTAATATTATATTCTTAAATTCTTAATATTGTTTTTTCTTAATATTTTATGGAGTCGTTCAATAAATTGTAATCAACAATAAATATTTTATTTTATTCCGATTAAATATGGTTTAAAGTTGATATTTTATGTTAAGGAAAGAAGTATTAGATATAAGAATTAATCGAGTCTGTTTATTATGTTCGTATTAAGTGTGTACAAAATGTGTGATTTAAATATGAATTTTTCTTAAATATTAGATTCACAACTAAACTACAGCACCTATAATTATTTATTATCATATACATATAAACAACAATTTAAAATTGTATAGTTATGTACCTGTCTGCATCAGTTGTCAATATAGTCAAACTCTGTTCTTCAAAACTTGATTCCGTGGATGGTTCTTGAAGCTGTGATTTAACACTGTGACAATTTAAATTCTATTATAATATCATTCAACATAATCTATAGGTAAAACTTTAATAGTATATTTTGTATTGTAATTTTGTAAACATTAAATGAAAAAAAAGACTAGAATAGACGAAGTTAACACTATATTAGAATAGGTAAGGTCCTTACCGTATGGGATAGGGGAAATAGAAAGTATATTCTTTATAATATAGTAGATATACACAATAGAGAGTTCTATGTTTAGGCCTCTGTATATAAAATACTTAAATGTAGTACCTGTATTTAGATTGGGTTGATGTACACGAGTAGCCTGAGTCATAATCAGTTCGAGTTTGATTTACTGAAAATGATTTACTTTCTTCCATTTTTGTTCTAACCTACAACAGACATTAAAAGTAATTTTTAATATTAATATATGTTTTTACGGTGTTTTTGGGAAAAATCGTATCGGCGAGTAAGGACAATTCTAGTCTTGTAAATACCAACCTAAAAATCTAAAAAATATATGTGTACGATGTAAAGTTTTATTTGTAAATATTACAAGTTCAAACTTATAGATGCCATTGGATATTTAAACGAAAATTAAAAATGTTGGTTATTTTGTAACTTGTTGTGTATTTAAAAAAAAAATATTTGTTCTACAAGTACACAATCCAATTTTTGAAATTTTTAAATTAATTTCATATCCATACGAAAAACTTATACACACCATTCTATACGGTTTAACGGAATTGACTTACAAGCTAATAAGTAAAATAATACCAATAGAAATATTATATTATAATTATTATGACATATATAATATATGTGATTTTTAGCTGGCAAAAATAATTCAATCTAACGTATAACTACTGGAAAATAAATCAATAATACTTAATAGTAATAAATATGTATAGTAAAATATATTAGAAATATAGGCTGACAGACCTCAGGACACAGACTGTCTCCACTGCTTAATCATTGAATTCAAATTTAACACATATATTACAGTAACATACTCAATGATAAGGTACACTCAAAACCTATTATACACAGAAGCGACTTCTCCGGTTTTATTAAAATGTCATACCACAAAGTTGAATATTTTTCTGAGCATTTCAATTTCTACAAATTGAATTTTTGAATATTTATATTAATAACTGCCTATCATAAATTTATTAAAAATTTAAATTCTTAGAAAAATATTCTGATTTGAGATATGAATTAAAAATGTATTAAAAAAAATAAATGATAAAAATGTTTACTTTTTTCATAAATGTTGTTTTGTAATGACTGAAAATTATATAAGCTAAATATTTTCAGAAACATACATTTTTTCCGAAATAATGAGTGTTTACTGTTTAGAGAATGGTCCATATAAAAGAAACTACTATAGTTAAATATGTAGTGTAATGTTCCATTTTGTAATTGTATCACATAAGAAGAAGTTTTATTATATAGTTTTCTTAAATATTATTTTCATACATTAAGGAAAACTATTGACAAATACCAAGGATTACCACAAATCTAGATAACTGATAAGATTTTTGATCCGCACTTACATGAAACATTTAAATCTATTTTATTATCTTTAAAAGTATATAAATATGCAATTATACTCAAAATATATTCGTCGTTTCTTCACTACTCCAGCAAAAATCCTCCCCCTGATAATTATTCCTATATTTTCATTCCAATGTTGTAAACCTAATTCATTTTTTTTTTCATTCTAAGCCTAAAACGTCGTAGCTAAACCCTAATTTTTTTTTTTATTAGCCTTTACAAAAAATTTAGCTCAACAATTAAAGTATCTTAAACCCTAATTTATAGTAAACATATATTGGCATGAACAGTATCGCCTAAAGTATATAGCATATTAGATAAGAAGGCAAGAAGCTGGTTTAAATCATAAAACGGCGATATCGATATAAGTTATAAAATAATAAAATAATTGTATAATTATAATTGATTATTTGAGTTGAAAAAATTGTGCCTCACCGGTAAACTGCTTAATTTCGTGACAAAAGAACAACAGCTATGATCAAAGTCGTTTGGCTGGACGACCGCGGGACCGGTTGCGTGTCGACACTCGTGCGACTGAGTGGGACGTGGGTCCGTTGGCCGAGAAAAAAATAGAATGTACGACAGCGGTTTAGCAACGAAGACGAACGGCGGTGCGAGTGATGGTACACAGGCACACAGGCACACAGCAGCTCAACGACGACGATCTGGCGCGGCTGCTGCGGCAGTGCGCACCTCACGGGGTTGGTGAGGGAAAGCACATAAGAACGCTAGAGAATAACTTTTTCATTATTATTATTATTATTATTATAATGATTAATATTATTATGCGGTTCACCGTACAGGGATATTCATGAAGGATGAGCACCGTCAAATCCCTCAATTGTCTAATTCGTTTTTAAGTAATTTTATGAAATAGATGCGGGTAATCTTTTTTTTTTTAAAGTTTGAAAATATAATAGATAAATATCACAGATTAAATAACATTGTTGTTCATATTTATAAAATAATGTATTTATTAATTATTGCATTATAATATACATTATATAGAGGGTGTATATTTTGTCATTGTACGCCGGAGTTTTAAACGATTAGGGGATTTCGAAAAAAGAAATAATAACGTGTACCTTTATTTTTAATAGGATATTCTTTTTGTAACAATTTCGAAATTTTTGAACACGCAGTTGTACCAACAGTAAAATCAACTTTATTTTTCAAATGGTAACAACTATATTTTTAATGGGTTCTGGTAAAGCTTTTTTTTCTGAAAATTTTGATAGTCCAATAAACAATTTTGGTTCACTGGTCTATTAACTATGGTCCTCTAAAGTTTAGTAAATTGCATATATACTTTGAATTGAAATAATTGGTATAAATTTAATTTAAAATAGCTAAATATTTTTTCTTTCGACGATCTTTTGATATACAAAAATCGATCGTCTAATAAGAAGCTCCAAAAAAAAAAATTCTGGATAAACGCCTTTAATTATACTTATTTTGATGGTTGTATGTTAAAATAAAAAAATGCATTATGTTTGCCAACGATTTTATAGGCATTTATCCCAACATTTTTTTTAGGAGCGTCTCACTAGAAGGTTGATTTCAGTGTATCAAAAGATAGTTGAAAAAAAAAAATTTAGCTCTTTTAAATTGAATTTATAACAATTATTTCAATTCAAAGTATTAATACGTTTACTAAACTTTAGAGGACCATAGTTAATATACTAGTATTTAGTGGCAATGTGCAATTTTGATATAGGTACAGGTAGTAGTGGTAGTACAACTTTATAGTATAGAAACTATTAATACCTGTCCATACTATAATAGTCCGGATAGTAGGGTAGAACCAGTGCACGAAATGGAACATTATTTTTTCTAATTGAAACGCTTACCAAATTATTGTGCCAAATGCCTGTATGTGAATGTTACTATAATAATATTAATATTAAATTTATGTTTACAATAAAATATAAATGCATGTATTTTGAACTTATAAAAATTGGATTATACATTAACCTTAAGAGTTAATAATAATTTCGTATAAGTGCTTCATAATTTTTGTCCGCAGACACTTGAAAGTTGAAATGTTCAACCACATGTTTATATTAGCTCATTTTTTTAAAAATATTCTGACTCTTTTTGAGCTATTTATAGTGATGAAAAATTTTTGTTTTTTACTAATTCTTTTAAAATTATGAAATGAGATTATTTATACAAGTATGCTGATTTATCGTCTCCGTTCAGAATCATTTTACGTAAACAATGAGTAATCATTAATAAACTGATATAAGTACCCTACTACAGTTAAAACAATAAAAAAAATTGTAGCCCCACCCACGAAAAAAATTCCTGGCTACAATAACAATGTTAGC